CTTGGCACCTCTTCTGGCTGCGGCTCTGAACAAGAGGCAGATATACACAGTCTAGCACCTTGTGTGACAGCTGCCAAGCATGCCTTAGCTTGAGGTGGGCCGTGCTCCAGCTGCTGCTTGAGCTGCGCCTGATCCTCTGTTTGTCGACTGCTTCTGAGGTTCTTTTTGCTTAGATACATCTCCCAAGACTTCACAGGGTTTTGTAGGGAGATCGTCGAATACTTGAAAATCAAACCATGAAGGATCTTTGTGTGCGGCTTCGAGACGCCGTCGTCGTGCAATGTTGACTTTTCGAAACTGTCTCGCCCCCGACCCAGACCAACATCACACCCCGCGACCGAGACCAAAGAACACATTCGCACGCGCGCCCAACACCAGAAGGCTCAAGAAGGGCAACTGGGCCAGGTAGCCCATCCAAAATGTAAAAACAACGGCAAGGGTTTGTATCCGCCCTTCCGTGGCCTTATCTGATTCAATGCTTTGGTCCCTCTCTCCCTCTCCCTCTCCCTCTCTCCCTCCCTCTCTTTGCCCATTGAATGTAGGGGAAGCGCTGTCTAGAACCAGCAACAAGCACACTTTCTTACGCTTTTCTTGGCTGTCGGACGAAATCAATGTCGACCCTGCCAACTGACACCTCTAAAGAGGGAACCCCCCTTCAGCCCTAAGGGACTCGCAAGAAGGCCTTACGAACTCCGACCTGACTGTTCTGACAGAAGTTAGCATGAGAGGGCTTGACTTCGAGCCTGATGCTCTCCGTCTCGTCATTTAATGCATGATTGGCCACTTCAGCCATTCACAGGGATAAAACACAGGAAGCACTCGATTACAGCATTGATTCGACGACTTTCCTTACTTGGCAACCTTCAGTTGTGAATATTGTGAATCTGAAGTTTGTAGCATAGCATCCAGACAGTCACTCGTGCTCCGCTGCGTAGTCTTCGCACAGCTCCTGGCCAGCTTGTCGTGAGGTGCACAAGCAAACGCGTCTGACCCGGAGGGTCGTACCGCGCTGATCATTGCTGCAAGTCAAGGCCTTGAGACCTTTGCAACCTTTGAACCACTTTTGGAACCAGTACAAGTACACGTGAGAAATCGTGAGAACAGATGGTAGAGTCTGGGAGAGGCCAATCCCGAGCGGTGTCCAGCTTGATCGAGTGGAGAGCCTCGTGCGTGTCTCAAGAGTGTACATACCCTCCCGTAACTTTGTCCTGGTGTTGGCATTCTGCTGTAAAAGGCTAGAAGCACGTGGCATTGATGGGCAAACGGCCTTGCTGGCAGCTGCGCGCCAGCAGCACTGGATGGCTTTGCACGGGGCTTACATTGCTGTCTTCAAAAACAGCAAATCTCATTGACCCATGTGCCTGTCATGTGCCTGTGTCTCGTTGAGGCGCCGACTGGCCGAAGCCCTTGCCGATCTCAACGTGGCTCAGCTGCACACGGAGCATCCTTTCGCAGACACAGATGCTTTCCATCGCGGGCGCACTGCGTGTGCCATGCATCCCAGAAGAGCCATGGAGCTTGGGCCATCTGACCAAGGTCGTAGAGACAAATGCCGCGAAGCCCGTGATCGTGCGTGTGGCGGAAACGTCGCAGCGAGAGGCTAAGCTCAGGGAAGGGGGAGAGCCCCTCTTTTGTTTGAGATTCATATTTTCTTCTGTGTGTCTGGTTCTTCGATTATCAAAGACCCAAAATCATGTACATGTCGCTGTGCGCTGTGCGTTCTCGGCTGCCCCCCCCCCCCCCCCCCCCCCTTTCCGCCCCCCCCCATGTAGCCCTAAACCCTAAACCCTAAACTCTAAACCCTGACCCTAAACCCTAGACCCGAAACCCTAAACCAGCCCTAAACCCTAAAGAAGCAAAACCCCTAAAACCCCAAAAACAACCCGCAACCGCACCACAGAGGGGCGGTGGGGGGGGACGGGGCAGTGGGCGCAACCGTTCATGTTTTTCTCTCTCTCTGAATCTCTGCTCTCTCCGTTCTCTTTTCTTTGGTTTCGGTCGCTCTGAGTCGGTCCTAGGTGGGACACGTTGATCCACTTGGCGCGGCACCGCGCAGATTTGGAGGCACATGGTGCTCTGAAAAGTGGTGCTCTGAAGGCTCTGAAGAGGCTGAGAAAGTGAAAGTCGAAGTCAGTTAAATTGTCACGTCATGTCACGTCGAAAGTCGCAGGGAGTGTGGGGCAGAGAGCCGTCTTCGAGAGCCTGTTCCATGCAGTACAGGTTCGCGGACAAGGAGGCCGTAGAGTTTTGATGTTTGCTGCAGAGTGTGGCCTGGACGATGTTGCCTGGTCAGAGCCTCAGCCAGCGACAGTTCGGAAGCACGTGCGTTCTTCTGGACTCTTTTGTTTTCTCCAGGTGGCTACTTCAGTGTCAGGCACTGAACCAAAACATGACTCGCATTGACTCAACCTGTCAACTCTTGAGACGCTGAAAGTGTGCAGCCTGTGCAGCATGTGCAGCTGCATGTGGCTTTGTTCACATGCTTTGCACTCGGCACGCTGAGGCCGCGCTGACCCCGATGCTGTGGATGACAAGGCGACATTGCGGCGTGTGCAATGGTGTCCTTGAAGTACCTCTCATGTCGGATCCGGATGCATTCTTGCATCTGATATCATTCGCCTGCTTGGGGGATTTGACGGCTGTTGCCGGCGCGCAGGGCGAGACAGCCTTGCTGAAGGCGTGCAATCGCCAGCTCGCAGCCCAGCGGACCATCTCGGAAACTGCCATTCTCAAAGTCCTGTGTTCTGACCAGCAGAGGTCGGAGGGATTAATGCGAATTCTTTGGGAAGGCGGCGCCAAAGTTGAGACGCGGCCTCACGAACGTGATGCATTTGCACCCGATTAAATGTTGTTTTGAAAGCTCAGGACTGCGATCAGCAAGTCTCGCGTTCCTGCGCCGCTTGCTTTGAGTTAGGCCCCTCGTTTCTCCGCGGTACTGTGCTGGTCTACAGTCTACATGTTTACTCGTTCTACCTTTCCCAGGATGTCACGACTGCTTCGTCAGTGGAGTGGACATGAGGAGGACGATTGACGGAGAAAGTTTGGCTCTCTGAGAGCTCTCCTCGTGGTGAGCTGCATCTGCTCCGCGAACCTGCGCTCCGTGAAGCTGGCTCTGTGCCATGTGCTGCCCTTAGATGGTTATATGGGTGCTCAAGGGCAGGCGCTGGTCGATCACACAAAAATCAGAGGACTACTTTTTTTTCGGGGTCCGAAAAGGCATCAGAAGGATCATGCGAAGAACGATACATGCTTGTTGCCGGAAGTTCGGTGAGCGCATTCTCAGATGTTTTCGGCATAGCGGCACCTACACATGGGTGAATTCCCGCCCGCACTGATGGCCTGAGCAAGCCTGTCCGACGCAGCGGAACTGCCCGCATGCAACCGGGAACAGGTGGAGAGCCGGCTGGCTGGAAAAACTAGTCGGATCAACATGTAGTACGATTGAAGCGAGCGCGAAGACCACTCCCAAGCCGATCAGGCTACCGAAGTTCGCCTGGAGGGTCTAGGGCTCAGAACAACGGTCGAGGGTGTACCTGTTCTATTCCATTCAAGCAGAGCACAATGGAGTTGAGGAGAGTAACAAATCATGGCGTGAAGTAGCAGTAGCAGTAGCAGTAGCAGTAGCAGTAGCAGTAACAGTAGCAGTAGCAGTAGCGGTAGCAGTAGCAGTAGCAGTAGCAGTAGCAGATATATTGTTGAAATGTTTTTTGAGTGCAAAAGTGTTTTTGATTTGGTTTGCGCTTTTTTGTGTTTTTTCCTGACCTGGCTCTTTGTTTGTCTCTGATCTTGCTTTTGTATGTTTTCTGAATATTTGTGGTTCTATAGTGTTGTGAAGCGTTTGACCCTTGCGGCTTCTATATATTTGTGAATCGTTTGACGCTTGACGCTGGCGGCTTCTAGAGACCAGAGGTTTTGGTTTACTTTGTTATACTGCAGCTGAGACGTCGAGTTTCCATTGGGGAGGAAGGGAGGGAAATAACCATGACAGGTGCTTTGGTCGTGGCCATTTTGGCTACAGGGCCATAGTGTTTTGTTCCCACCCGCAGGGTTTGATACGGCATTCAAGGGTGAAAACTTAGGTCAGTGGGCTTCAACGGGGTGGTCAGGATTCACGGTTTTTGGGGGTGGGGGGGGGGGGGGGGGGGGATCGGGAATGGAGACGGGAGGCGGTGGGGGAGGAAAGGGTAGGGGTGCCGGGAAGTAGGTCGGGGGTTCGAAGGGATCCGTGAAAAATGGGCAAGCTTTCGGGCATCATAAGAATTGATTTTGTATGGCGCGCTGTGCGCAATGCCAGGGAAGTGGGTCCTATTTGGAATCCCACCCTCTAAAGAGCGCCTAAGTCTTCGTTGGTTCAGGGAGGTGGGCGGCATGTCCAATATCAATGCAGCAGAAGAATGGGCATGAAGAAGAGCTGAGTTGCTGCATGCGCTTCCGGGCTGGTCACGCTGCGTTTGTTCTGGTGCTCTTGCCACTGGATGTTCTGCACTGTTTGACCGACGTTTTGCCACACGTGAACTTGAGAAATGTTTTATTTGTTTGCATTGTGTGCGGCTGCAGCTGATGTCAACTCTGCAGAGGTCGCCAACTGTCTGGATCAATGACTTATTATCCTGCTGGTCTTGGCATCCATCGAGTGGGTCACAGTTCTACTCTGCGGTGGCGATCTCTGCAACCAGCTCAGCGACGGCAAGCTCACGACTTGGAAGACTGGCGCAGCGCCACACGATTCTTCATCGCACGAGAAATTGCCACAAGAGCCGCAAGCGCAGCGGTGGTCCACGGTGAAGTAGGTCGCGAGTGACCTGTCAAACCTGCCAGCCGGTTGAGTGTGAGGCTAGAGTTTGAGCAAGACTCTGTCAACGTTTTCGCTTTCTCATTGACCCAGCTTAAAAGGAATTGGCCATAGTCAGCGCAGTGCTCTCATGAGTGATGACACTCTTGATGGCTTGGTCGTGGTCTACTGCGGCAGCAACTTTCGAAGGATCCGCCCTGCCTGGCAGGTTGGAGCCATGATGCGTGGTCCTTCTCCGCCCAGGCCTGCGAAGCCGCTGCGGAAGCTTAAGTGTGTTTCCCAACACTTCTCAGCTTACACCCTGCTGTGTTGCGAGGCTGGTATGGTCACACGTTCCTGGCGCTGCAGCTAGGCTGTTCACAGTCTGTTCACGTGTGCTCACATTTTGGAAGACATGAGAATGTGCTACAAGCTGTGCCTAGAGAGTCGTGGTTCTCGTGATGCTTGCGTTGTTTTGATGGCAGGATCCCGCCGAGGACGACAAGCAATGTCATAACCAGGTTTCCGTGTTGCTTTAGCCAGAGGAGTGCGTGCAACAACTGGTCGTTTAGAGGTCAAGAAGACTAGTTCGCATGCAACTTTTGGTCATGCAACATGGCCTGCTTCCCTTGTCTGGCCTGCCACCAACGGGCTGCTTACCGCATGTCATGTGGCTCACCCACGAAGGAATTCAGAGAGCGCGCGCTACGGAGCATCTCGAGCGTACCACCGGTCCATCTAGGGCCGAGAGCATCGGATAAAGTCTTTTTGCAGCCAAGCTGAGAAGAATCTCGATCCGAAGACCGGCCGCTCAGATCATTTTCCTAAGAAAGTCCACAGCCACAGCTTACTTTCCTCTTCTGTAATCGGTCGAGCGAGTTGCCTGTCATGGTGTTGTTGGCGCCACACATGTGTTACGTGCCGTGAACGCAGGCAGGCTCCTGTTCAAGCAGCAGGGGCTCGGCAGGCTGCCTTCGCTTGCTCTCTGCTCTCCTTGACCCAGCCGGTTAAAAGTTGCAGTTCAAGCATACTCTTGCAGGTCCCTCGGCTGTGCCTGCCCAACCACTCTGCCCAACCATCACATGCATGGGCACCAGGCAAGCTTGTGAAGAGTGTAGCATGATGTAGCATGTGTAGCGTTTCAGCCCTCTGCCAAGCTGGGAGGCGCACTGAGTCCGGTCAAGACCCTGAGGGCGCGCTTCCCTCAGCGCGGTCGTAAGAGATGTCAGCCCCCTCTGCATCACCTTGCCGGCAGAAGGTAGAGGCCGTTGAATGGAACACCCTTGAAATCCTTCCGCAGGTTTGAGCAGGTTGGAGTCCAGCCCCCACATCGCAGCCTGCAAAACGAGAATATATCTTGGAACTCCTTGAAGTGCTGTGAAAATCCGTGATACTGTAACAGCTGGAAAGCCGTGCAGAGCTAATGCTAGCTAGTAGATCCGCGAGCACGAGGTTCAAGGAAGTAGCGCAACTCCTTTTTTGAGCCGAGCGTCCATAGGGTGTGCCTTATCGTTTCCGGAAGCAAAGCCAAGCACACAGGTGTATCTGCAAACCAGCCTTTGCAACACAAATGGCAGCCAAGGGACGTGCTGAGCCAGTCGATGCAAGCTGCTCCCTGGCTGCATGACAGGAGTCAAGTAGGAATCAAGCGAATCAAGAAGGAGTCGAGTTGATGATTGAGCGAGGTGCCGTTGCAGGGCTCGTCTGCTCGGTGCTCAGACGATGATCTGCAGCTTCCCTGACCATCGGTGGATCCTTAAGTTTTGCTTTCTTGCCCTCAAGTTTCAGATGGATGCTTTCGTTACCCTAAACGGCATGATGGCCAACTCTAGAACAACAGGTGACCAACATGCTGAACCCCAGAACCTCTACGCCTGCAATTTCGGTCAGTTTTGTTTCCTTCAGGGTTACATTTTCTTTACTGATTCATTCTTTATGCATGCCGCTGCCATATTCTCGGGAGGGTTACGCTGTTTTCTCACTTGCACTGCTCCTGTCCGCTTCCTTGTGCTCTTTGCTTCCCCAGCTTCTTCAGTTGTCAACAGGCGTTTCCTGCATGCTGTGCAGGAAGCTCCTGCAAACTTACTTAGTTTCTGCCGAGCTCCCGAAATCTAAGGCAGAAACTACATGACCTTGGTAAACTAGGAGATGCATGAAGTGACCTTTTGCAGGTGCTCTCGTAAACTTTACCTTAGGTTTCCTGTGTCATGGAGAGTGATCCGTCACAGGGCTTCCCAGGGCTTCCGGCTATAAGTTGCGCCTGGCTGGATGTCCAGGGTTGTGCGCTGCAACCTGAATAGTTCACCCCCACTTTGGGGAAGTAGCAACGGTGTGTAGCGCAACTCCTAAAGCCAAAAAGAGCCTAGAGCCTGAAAGCTGAATCCCTCCCTACGCCTCCGAATCCCCAGACCAAGCCCCACGTCTGACGCCACCGAGCGCAAGTGGCCAGGGGTACGAGTATGACGGTCGCCATATTCTTTCGGTGGTTCGATGCCACGCCTATTTTTTCTCCTTGTTCCGACTTTTTTTTTTTTTAACTTAGTTGGGTGTAGGCCGAAGGCCGAGGCCTCTGGGGGTTCTGCGGCTCACACTCCAAAACCCAAAGTCCCCGAAGTCAAGGTCGACCTGTCGGCTCCTCCGAGGTCTGGGTGCCCCACATGACAAGACATGCGTGGTGCTGTGGGGTTTCCCAGATTCAGGGTTCCTATAGGATTTGATGGGGTACGTACGTATTTACTTCCCCTACTTTGGGGAAGTGCCCATGGGCTGGCTCTGCACTCGAACAGGTACGGGGCGCCAGTGGACATGCTCAGCCGAACGGTGGCAGTCAGCAGGATCTGATCCCGATGATGTTGTGTCGGTGCATCGCAGAATCGCATGACTACTTGTGTTTGGGGATGTTTGGACGTTCCAGGCATGTGCCGGAGCATGGAAGCTTTAGAGCAACTTCGCCAACACGACTTGCCCTCGGCTCATTCCTCGCCAGTCCCAAGGCACGGTGCTCAGAGAACATCGGGGGGCTTTCGCATATCTACAGATTTCCAAGAACGGAGCGGCGCTTTTGATCTCTACAGGCAAAGCAGCCAGTGTACTTCCGCCCAGTACAGCTTCTCGGTGGAAAAGCCGCATGGGGCATCATGGACCGACGCATTCTTTCTCCAGGTGTGCTTCATTCACTCTGCTCCTCGTTGGTGGTGTTGCAGGCTATCACCGACAGCGCAAACCGCGTACCGACGAGTGGCAGCGCCGACAAGATTGCACTGCACGGTGGTGTGAAGAAGTTTTGCTCGAGGGCAGCAAGCAAGATGTAGCAACATGGCAAGGCCTCCCCTGGCCCGGTCTTCGCTTGCTGGGTTCCCTGAGTTGTCTGACATCTGTTGACATGCAAATAGATTCCGGTTTTGATTCGACTGATCGAGGCCCACGAACGATGTCAGGTGACGGCTTCTTTCGGAGCTGACGCGCATTCTGTCTGCTCTGCGACTGGGACGGAAAATGTGTCGTTGCGAATGCTTAGCAGCTCCCTCAGGCAACAAGCAAGATTCTGTAGAATGTGACTTCATGTCGGCTACTGAAGCTGATACATGTCTGACTGCAGCCGCTTTGAGCGGCATAATTGGCCCTCTTTTCAGGACACCTTAGCCCTAGTGCATTGTGAACAGACAGGTGCCATTACAGCTTGAGGATCTGTCGCACCTAACTACTTTGGCCAACCCCCGTCTACTTTTGTCTTAAAGCCGTAATGTGAACTTTCGAAAGGCCGCAGCATATGTCACCGCCCCTGGTCGGCCATGGCGCCCGAAGATCAAGCGAAGTTGGAAACCCTCGCCAGGAATCTCAAGACAGTGGACGACTCAACTTCCAGGAAGCCTATTCAGGAGGCAGTGTCACAGCATCATTGTTAGCAAGCTGTGTTTTGAGGTGGTGCAGGCACCGCTGGAATACGATGTGCCCCGGACAAAGCAGGAGTGTTGAAGACTCGAACGTACCAGTACCATCCTGTGAGATTCCATGGGCGTTATATGGCGTTATTCTTCTGTGTCACGTATCCTACATCCGCTTGGACCCATCTCCCATCCGTGTCCTGAGTGCTTTGCATCAGGTCACCGGGAGCGCAGGGAGCGCTGCCGCAGCCGAGGACGAAGAGGACGAGGTGCCGCGATGGGCTGCGGCTTCCAGCGCTTCGCGAACTTCGTAGGCTAAGGAGTCAGGAGGTCGCTGTCGAGTGTTCAGCTATGTTCAGCTTCGTGAGATGTTGTCCCCTTGCATTCTGCCCTGGAAGCCTGTGGCTTCGTCCAATTCCTTGTTGCTGCACTGTGCATTGGCCATCATGCCTGTGGGCATGGCCTGTGGATCCCAGCGTAACCTGCCATCCATACTGGGACGATCGTAGCTGCGAGCTGCTGCCTAGACACACTCGTTTTCTGCCAAGGCAGAAACATCGACACCAACAGCGGCAAGACCAGTAACGGCTTGAAAAAACGACAGCAGTAGCAAGGGTAGGAGGATGAGGAGCCTGGTGTATCCCAGTGCACCTGACAAGCTAGCGAGGCTCGGGTGCAGGTTAGGGCGGGTACTCCGTAGTGCTCCCAGCGCAATAGATCAGGTTGCAAAGTTTGCGCAACAGGGTTTCCTCTTAAAACTCAGGGGATTTTCACACACACACACACACATATATATATATATATACATTATTATACAAAAAATGTTGATGACAACTTTGGGGGGCAGTCTAGGCAGAACTGCCGATCTTCGATGCTCCGGATGGCAGTAATGTTGGGAGGCCGGGACGTCAGATTGCTTGTGACTCATGAAAGGGATCCTGCCACTGAACCGCCGTTGAGGCTGCGCATAGCGGGAACTGTGCAGGGCTATCCTGCAGGCGCTTACAGCCGAGCGTTTTTGGCTGGAGACATGAATACGAACATCTGTGCAAAGGCGACTGGCTGCACCTCACAAGACAGGAAGTGGTACGGCTGCAGGCAGGGCATGCCGGAAACGGCATGGGTCGTCCCCAGGGCTGGGATTTGAGATTGACAGGTGCATGGATGTGCCAGGAAGGTCAAGTCAGCAGTTTCTAGCTGACCCCAAGTGCAGCAACAGCCGTCGAAGCAAGCCTGCATGGCACCTGCAAGTTCACGACATGGCATGCAAGCTACTTGCTCGAAGCTTGATGGCAGGCTTGGAGCCATTAGGGCAGTTCAGCTTTCAATAAACATTGCGCACAGCAAGAGGATATTCCAAAAGCTCCCAAGTGCTCCAGGGAACGAAAACGATGCGCTTAGGGCCACCCTGGCAGCGTGTGGGATCTCCAGCGTAGGTTGAGACCAGCTTCTTTAGTGCATTTCTGTGCATCTACTACTCGTACCAATGGATCTCTTTCTTTGCAACCTTACTGATGTTGAACGGAACCGACAAATTGAAGACCTGAGCAGCAAATACACTGGTAGGACAGTCCCTGATCAGCCACTGATGCACGTTGTCACGCTGCAAGGTGATATCTGTTCGTCCTTCGTTTTGACTACCTCATAGTCGCGCACAGGAGCAGGGGGCGCTGGATCCAGACTTGAAAGAGGTATGGGCAGGGGCCCAAGAAGATGTGGGTCGCTTATATGCCTGTCAGCTGGTGACCATGGGTCTTGTGGTAAGGTGCAATTGGACTTTTGTGCCCGGCTCCTACGCGAGCGCTCCTGTTGCGGGTGGTAGATCCTGCAATGTAAAGATTTCGAACAGAAATGGTATCAACAATTGAGACCCGCGTGTACCTACAGTACCTTGGAACTCGAGCGCGCTGCGCTGCAGGTCTCGCAGCGGGCTCGTGTGGCGCCACGAGCGGAGCTCTGTTGACATGAATCCCCGTACTGATGGGGCGCTGCCCTTTGCAAACGGCAAGGCTGGGCACAGATTGATGTGGAGATGATCTACCTTGAGGTGCAGTGTCAAACAGTCCAGATTTACTGTGTGACTGGTTGCCGCGGCAGCTCGACGCACGACAGGCGCTGGAGTTTTCATGGCCTGGCATTCCTGGCGAGTTCGTCACCTACACAGTGCAGTGGAGGACGCACGCCCAGCTTTCGGACCCATCCTGCATGTCCACGGAAGACGTCATAGCTGGAATTAGGTGAGTTCCCGAAGCCTTGTCAAATCCCTTCAAGCTGCGCAGGAGCAGCGCAGAGAGCGGCCTTGAGACTGGCCAGGCCAAGGAGGAGACAGTGGGCGATGCCGTCCAAGTCCCAGTCGTGTAGAGTACTTGCACTTTTTTCACTTTGTGCCTCTTTGTGCTGTGTTACCTGTGTCTGCCTGGGACAACTGCTGCAATGCTCGTGCCGGCTCGAGCCTAATTTTTATCGATGTTCATGATGAAACAACTGGCAGGCCTTGTCCCAAGGCAGGGGCTAAGCCGCTGCTTCATACCTTCCATCCGAAATATATCGGCTGGCAGAGTTCGGGACGGAGAAGACGAGGTCCAGGATGTTGTGATCGGTGCCGGCGTTGTTGGGGTCTGCACGGCCTACAGCCTAGCAAGGCAGGGACGCAAGGTGAAGGTCTTGGACCAAAGCTCGGGTCCAGCCCATGGCTCCAGCTGCTAGACGGGTACTTGGGGAGTCCTGAGAAGCTCCCATAAGGCTACCTACTCAACTTAAGGGCGCTCATGCAACTCCTCTCTTTTGTTGGACCTGGGTCTTAAGTACATAAAGTCGTTGCCTCTTTGTCGTGCTCTTTGTCGTGCTCTTTGTCGTGCTTTCCGAATCGCAACGCATCACAAAACTTGACCTTTTTTATGTTCCGGAGGGCGCAACAGATGCGACCGCACCCTCTTCACCGCATCCTGCTTGTTCTGAGGCTGGATCAATGGGACCCTCGTTTGCCCGTCGCTGATGCTGCCATGGACTGGTCCGCAATTGATTCCCAAGGTGTTCAAGTCCTTCTTTCAGCCGCGGCATCCACTGAAAGTCCATCCAAGCACTTTGTGTTCTTTGGATACATACTACTTCGCCCTGCACTACCTTGCGTCCTGCCGACCTGGTCATAGCAAGCGGACGACCAGGCGTTTGGCAAACATGGCGCGATACTCTCGCCATTGTTTGGAGGCTCTTCTTCAGGATCACCAGGAGCTCAACGATCACATGCATAGGAAAGCTGATGGGACTCTTCAGGTCTTTGATGACCAGGCTGCTATGCACGCGTGCCTGGATGCCTCTGCAGAGATTCAGCACGCCGGAGTTCCCCTGCGTGTGGTCCAGGACGGCGAAAAGGGTGAAATCGACGACCTTGCTGCCCGGCTGCGTTCGCAAGGTTTGGAGGCACTCTATCTGTACTCCCCGCTGGACACCAATGGAGACTGTGCCAAGTTCACAGAATTCTTGGAGGGGCAGTGCCGAGAGCTGGGTGTGGCTTTCAATTACGACTCTAGTGTGGAAGGTTTTCGATACAGCGATGGGCTGTGGGAGATTTCTATGCCAGGGCGCGCGGTTCGAGCAAGGAATGTGATTCTCTGTGCAGGTGTTGGTAGCCCCAGGCTGGCTGCCCATCTTGGGCTCCGACTGCCAATGGCTCCTGTAAAAGGCTACGCCATCACTGTCCCACTGAAGCCCGGTGTCCAGCAGCTGCCATCGAACGTGGTCCAGGATTCGAACAAGCTGTATCTTGCACCTTTGGGCCCCGATTTGGTTCGCATCACTGGCTTCGCCGAGTTTGCGGGCTTCGATGTATCTGTTGACATCCGCCGTGCAGCTATTCTGGCAGAGCAAGCAGACAGGCTTTTCCCGGACTGCGCCTTGCAATAGATATATAGCTGTTGCACTCAGCAGTGGGTACCTTTATGGAAACGAGTCCCGCGCAACTTTGATAGATGTCGTTCTGGCCGATGCACAAGAGTCTAGAGTTTTGGGGGTAGGGTTTAGGGCTTAGACATACTTGGACATGCAAGCGGCAGTGACTGATCTCTTCTGTTGTGGCGAGGTTTGGACTTTGATCGTGCTGAGTACCATGCTGGCTTGCGCCCTCTCAGCGCTGATGATGTGCCGATCATCGGTGAAGCGAAGCCGAATTTTTTCTTAAACACTGGCCATGGTTCTAAAGGCCGGAGTATGGTAGGCCCTGGCAGGCTTGCCAGGCTTTGAAATGAGATCTCCGAGTTCCGCATTTTTTGTGAAAGGTTAGCTTCGGAGGTGCGCGGTGGCATCCTACACGTTCGTTGTCCTTTGTCTGCACACCCTGTGAGGCTGGACTCATGCAGCTGGAAGTGGGAAGCTTGTTGCAGACCTCGTTGCTGGACGGCAGCCTGATCTGGATCCGGAAAGTTACAGCCTGAGACGGTTCTTCAGTTTACATCAAAAAGATGCGCCTTTTGATTTCCAGCTTGGGACGCTTGGTCTCATGCCGTAGCAGAGCTCTGCTAACGAAGCGCCGGAAAGCAATGAGCCGGCTTTGAAGCGCATCATTCAATGGGATGCAATGGCTGTCCCATGCCGTGTCACGCTTTCTAGTTTCATTCTGTAGGTGTAGGGGAGGTCTCTGCTGGTTCCGCGAGAATTGCACAATGCAGAGCTGATGTCCCATGTCTGGTTCCAGCACCGCGTCTCTGAGTTGAGCACTGTCGTTTGAGACTTCCCCAGGCCGAGACGCAGGCAGAGGATGCATTGTGCAGTCGCAAGTGAGAACTCAAGGCTAGAAGGGGTGAGATGCAGTGAGGATGGCCCCAGACAAGCTGATTTGGAGTGCCGATCCCTGGAAGTGTCCCAAGCCTGAGCAGAATCTCAGGGCGCATCTCGGGCTGCTGAAAGGTGCACCTCCTCCCGTGCGTTGTTGCACGGCCTCCCGCAGGCTACATGCATACAGGTGCCTGCATAGCAGAAACACGTGGGTGCCTAGCAGCTCATTAGCATGCAGGTTCGGGTACTTGCCAGCGTGACTGGCCCACAAATCGATTTTGTGGAGCTGGAGATTCTGGGTCCCTGGACACCGCATGTGAGCTTGATCTCATCACTCATGTCATCACGGTGAAGATTGATGTAGGAACGTAGGAACCGCTGGCAGGACGGAGATTCACACGGGCTCACCACTGCCTGGGGAAGATGTGAAGGAGGGAGATGAATCCTGAAGTTGCCCATCAAGGGCAAAACAGTTCTCTGTTCTCTGGCATCAGGCTCTGGGAGATCGCGACCTGCTCGGAGGATGGTTGCTCAGAGCATCTCAGAGCCCTCTCAGAGCCCTGTTGGCTTTTGTGCTAAGTCTGCCCAGTCATTAAGAAGGAGAGCTCTGTGGTGCAGGCTACCGGGGCGGCTGCTTGCGCTCATCATGCACAGGCGAGCATGTGCGTTGCCCGCAGCAGTTCGTTCCGCTCGAGGGTTCCAGAGCACAGGGTCACAACGGTGATGGACTTAGTAGGCGCAGAGGCGCTAGGATTGGTGGCGTTTGATGGAGGCACCACACTCCAGCATCTGCCACATTCAGAGAAGCTGCATTGTGAGGGTTTGTGAGGTTCAACAACAGGAAATTAGCACCGGATGCAGGGAGGTGAAGTCACAAGCGTAGAATGAATCACTAAACGGGACCGAAAAAACAACAACATTGCAAAGGAGGACCCCCCTCACAAGAAAGGAAGTCGCCTTCTGAACGCTCTTTTTGTGCGGTGTAGATTTTTGCTATGTGCAGTATAAACAGTCCCGCTCTGTCGCATCACACCTTCTCCGTGTTATGTGGTTTTTGGTGTAGTGGTGCGCACTATAGCCAGTAATGGCTTCAGAAGCTTCAACCGGGAATTTAACCGAAATCTGTGGTCTGAGCAGGATTCCTGGCTGCCACCACGCTGCATTCGACCCATGCTGAGCAATGTCGTCGCTGTGGTTGCTCCTATGAGGACGCTTGGGAGAAGACAAAGCAGACAGAAACAAAGCCGAGACGAGAGCGTACTCACACTGCATGGAGTGGCTGGGATGCCCTGCTTGATGCGTATTGCTTGATGTCCGAGGAGCACCTGGAACTCGAAGGAGAGCCTCCGGTCAAGGAGTGCACAGCGACCCGGTCACTTGCTGCAACCTCTGTAGGTTTTAGCGAAAAGGCGTTAGGAGTAGGGTCCCCACCCGCTTTAGGGCTGAAGCAATAGGATTAAGGGAGCAAAACCAAAGGACAAAGACTCAACGATCCTGCTCTCTAGTCTTTAGCGCTAAGATATAGTGAGCAAGGTTCCTTTTTTTCTGACTTAGTGTGGGGGGCGGGGGGTGGTCTCTTTTTTAGGATTTCACGTTAAGATTTTGTGGCACGCCCCCCGCCCCTCTTAGGGAATAGGATCTAGGGAGTAAGATTGAGGGAACAAGATTTTGGAATCCCGCTCTTGAGGATTTTTAGCGATAAGATTTAGTGAACAATTTTCGTTTGTTTTTGATTTAGGGAGGGGTTAGAATTCTCAGGATTGAAGGATTCCGCCCTTCAGTATTTAGGAACCCCCCCCCCCCCCCTCTCTTTAGGATCTAGGGAATAGGAATGAGGGAGTAAAATTGTCGGGATCCCGCTCTTTGCGATAAGATTTAGGGAATAGGTAGTCTAGCAAACGGTAGGTTTTCGGAGTATCTATATACGTATCTGTCTACATCTTTATCTATACCTATATCTATATTTTTATTCATATCCATATCTAATCTATATCTATACCTGTATCTATATCTAAATTCAAATCTAAATCTATATATCTACATAAATAGTAAGCAAATAAATAAAGAAATAGATATATAGATAAACAAATGAAAAAACCACAAATAAATAAGTAGATAGATAAATAAACAAACAGGAAAATAACAACAATATATATATATATATATATGTATGTATGTATGTATGTATGTATGTATGTATGTATGTATGTATGTATGTATGTATGTATACTCTTGTTTTGAAATGCGTGTGTCTGAGCCTGACCTCCGTGAGGAGCAGCTCTGCCCAGGCCCCGCGCATGCCTCCATTGGCTGACATTGCTTGGGTTGTTCAAAGTCACCTGACCAGTGCCAGATCCCTCACCGGAGGAGGGCGAACCTTCAGAGGCCGTAACGCCGCGAGACTCTCACGACTGGAACGCGAATCCACCTGCATCGTTGAGGCCAAGAACGAGCCTGAACCTGGTGATCTCGATGGTGTTGTGGAGCAGGAGGAGGTCCTTTCCCTTTCTTTGCCATGGTGTCAGCTTGATGTGAGAAGGCCCGCTTGAAGCTCCGGCGCTGAGGTTGAATCTGTGCATTCGGCAGCTGACAATGCCAGCAACGCCAGCGGCGCTAGCGAGATGGAGGTGGAAGAGGCATCTGAGAGCATGGGGACCGAACTAACTCCTCGGTAAGCACTCGGTGCCTCAGAGGTCTGTTGAGACTTAGAGTTCGATCGGCAGAGGATGACGATGATGAGAGGATGCAGGGCTTTGCCCCGGAAAAGGCTCATAACATGCGTGTGAAGATCGCTTGTCGGCGTCAATGCCAGTTCCTGTCAGGATGCCGAGGTGGAGGCGAGTACGGAAGCAGATGGGCGCGGCCAGGACGACCCCTCGGTCAATTACATCGTTACATCGGTGCTCTGGACCGGATGTTCGCGACACTTCTGCAAGGAAGCGGAGGACAATGCTCTCTGGGAGGATTTCCTCGAAGCTGATGAAGGTTCCTTGGTTCCTTTCGCATCAACGAAGCAGCTTCAGTTGCCAAGCTTTGAGAGCGCTTAAGATAAACGTTCCGAGGCGAGGATGAACCTCAAGAGCAAGAGGCGCAGGTTGATGTCGTGGAGGCCCGGCCTTGCAAGAATGCATGAGGGCTGTTGGCAGTTCACGCATGTTCAGGGAATGGAGGACTTCACGGGTGCTCAGCCCGTCACGTCAGTGGAGCCGGTGCCCGCCCCGCGGCGTCTGAATTGAGGCTTTGCGAAGTGCAAGCTCGGCCAAGGCTGCCGAAGCCGACAGTTCTGAGCCCCTGGACCGACCGGGTGAGGCAACAAGGAAGGTCTGGGCCTCGGACAATGGCCACAAGCTCATGCAAGACGGCGTATGGCATCAGTGCAGTGTTGTATGCGCCATCAGTGCGAGGTGTTCTTCTGTCCGACGGCCGTGCAAATTCGTTCCGCGCCCGATACGATAGCTACCTCACGAGGATCCCTGCCTGATGCGTGCCAGTTTGTCGTAGTGATGCGTTGCATTGTGCTGCTTGTGAATTCTCAGGACTCCTAGATGTGGGAACTGTGGTTTCCGGAAGCAGCTCAGAAGTGATGGTGAAAGGGGTTTCAGACATCATCCGAAATAATCATCCGAGGGGAAGCGTCTCAAGTGCTGCATTGTGCTGCAATTTGAGGCTTGGAAGCTGGGTGGCTGAGTTTGGATGAGGAAAGTAAGAAGCAACTGCTGTTGCTGGGCGATGGTGCGGCCTGGGTGTCAAGTGAGAGCCTTGAGCAAAAGGATGAGCGAGACAGTGAGGATGAAGCAAAGGGTATGCAGCAGTCGTCCCTGCAAGCTGAGAGACTTCTCGGGACCGGCATTGAATACCGCGCTTCGTGTGACTCGCGGTGCTACTGCAGTCCTTCAACGCTCGGAGAGAGCAAGCCAGTCTGCCAGGGAGAGGCATTGGTTGGATACCCGAGTCATCACCATTGGATTCGCCTGGCTGCCTCGGAGACCAACACAGAGTTCATCTCACACTGGGTGTTTCAAGATCCCGACAGTCCGGCTCTTGAGGCGAACTGGAGCCGCTTGAAGGTCTCACAGAATTCCTTTGGCGTGCTACGCCTCAGCTGGCCCGGGCTAGGCGTGTCTCCCCATAGCACCGTCTACTACAGCCTGGAGTGGGCCAAGAAGGGCAAAGCATCGGGCTCCGGTCTGACTCCTCGCCCTGCTCCCTGGCCTGGTTTGGAGTACCTAAAGTGCATTCCAACAGTTCCCCAACGCTACTCCAACAGTACCCCAGGACTCCAAAACTGGGTCTCTGGTCCAGACAGAGAGAGAGAGAGAGAGAGAGAGAGGCAGGCTTGCCCCTTGCCCCAAAGAAAGAAAGAGAGAGATGCTCATTACGAGCTACGCGGACCTGGACGGAGCAGAGGGGGCCTCCAGCGTTCCTTTTCGCTGGAGAAGAACAAGTGACAGAGAGACAGTTGAGAGAGAGATGGAGAAAGATAGACAGAGAGATAAATACATAAACAAATGCATAAAAGAAGAAACATAAAGAATAAATGAAGAACAACCTAAAGAAAGGCAGAAAAGCAATAACGAAAGGCATGCAGGTTAATAAATGAATAGGGACCGAGAGAAGCAATGCAAAGTTCACTGAGGAGTGCACGCTCGTGACCTGCCCTGCAGAAACGCAGTTCCGAGTAAGCCGCGGCCTCAGACAGGATGTCATGCCGTGACGTATATAAGCCAATTTTTCGGTGTTTTGCGGTGCCTCTTGGGCCTATAGGTGCCTTCGTGAACAGCAGGGAGCGGAGCTTGCACCTGACAAGCGCCTGGCAGTCTGACTGGGTGTTGGAAGCAGAGGACAAGGCAGAATCCACTGAATCCACCCTTCCAGCCCCTCCGGAGGCTTCGGGTGTCACGTCGATAGCGCCAGTCTCAGATGAGTCGGATGGTATGCACGCTCCACACTCGGACAAAGTCGCCGAGAGCTCTCCCTGTGCAGAGGGTGGAGGGCTCGAGCAAGACCTGGAAGCCGTGGACATCTCCGAAAATCTCCGTGAGGAGAGCCCGGACGGGGGATCGCTTGACGCGCGTGGAGCAGAGGCAGCAAAGGCCGAAGAGCCGGCAGAGGCAGAAGAGGCAGTAGAGTCAACAGCGGCAGAAGCAGAAGTTGAGAAGAAGTCACAGCAGTGTGAGTCAGGGCAGAGTCGCCGTTCCTGCTTCGAGGTAGTCCGCCGAGGAGGTGTATTCCTCCGCGAGCAACCAAGCCGGGACGCAACCTCCAAGGGCCGGCTGGCCTTCGGGCAGCGTGTCTTTGGTGTACTGACAGGTGAGTGGCTCCGTGTGGAGAGAAACTCGCAGGAGGAGGTGGAAGGCACAACCTATGTGCTGGTTGACGGCAGCGAGTGGGGTCTCGGTACACTCCTTCAAGAGATGCCTACAGCTGAAAGTTCCCCTCTTCCCAGCACACTTCCGGAAGATTCGCAGCCGACGAAGCTGGAGCCGGAACAAGTTCCGAGCCCAGAGCCGGAGCAAGTTCCGAGTGCGCAATCCTCGAGCCTTACCAAGAAGTCGGCAGGGCCTGCTCAGAAAGCACGCCTATCATCTTTACGCCGTGCAGCTGCGGCTGCCGAAGAAGTCCTGAGCAGACCTGTTGACTATCTCGTGCTAGCTGAAACACCAGTTTATGGTGAGCCGACGTCAAATGCACAGCCTTTGGCAGGCAAGTCGCTCCAGGCTGGAAGCACGATTGTGGGGTACCCTGGCAATGCCAGCTGGATTCGTTTGGCCAGGGTGCAGGGTGGGGACGAAGAATGGGCTCTGACAAAAAGCCTCGGTTCCTCAAAATCTGGAAAGGATGCTTTTCTAAGCCCTGCCTGGGCGCAGCTGCAAGCCGAGGAGGTATTCAGTGAAGCCTTGGTAGTGAGCTGGCAAGGTCTCACAGCGCCCAAGGCACCCTACGTTGCAGCCTACAGCATAGAGTGGAGGCTGACTCCAGGCGAGGAGTTGCCCATTGGCGGGACTGGGGACTTCAAAAGTAGTGGATATGCATTGAGTCTCCAGCCGCGTGCCACGGCTTTCCGAAGCATGATGTGACGTGCGTGTCCTGTGTCATCTCGAACCCTTTTGCATCTGCATCCCTTAATACAGTTCACGCATACAGTCATGGTCAGTTTGCCCATGTCCCAAGGTACGACGCTGCATGGCCTCCCCCCGGGTGCTGCAGTCCAATTGCGAGCAGGAGTCCGTGTGGCAGCACAAACAGCCCAAACAACGCAAGGAGCCGGAGCTGACTTTCGACTTCTGGGTCCTTGGCAAGACTTTACTACCGGGAGTCCCCTCACGGAGGAGGAGGAGGCAGAGTACTCGCGATGCATCGATCCCTTTGGAGCGGCTCGTGGAGCATGCGAAGCCAGTCAATGCCGCGGATATGTGGCGGACTTGGATGCTTTGGCATCGGTGGGTGCCAATGCGAATTTCCTGGTCCACAAAGCCATCTGCGTGCGCTGCGGCAAGTCCTTCGAGGCGCACCAGCGTCTCGAGGCGTCCAGTGCGTCTTCTTGGAAGGCGAGGAAGAGCGCAAAGGTGGAAAGAAAGAAAGAGCCAGAGATTTCGGGGGCAAGTCCCCCGGCGAGTCCGCCAGAGGATGATGAGGGCCTAAAGACATTTCAGGCATCGATCTGAGCTTCTAAGTGTCCATGCCAATGGCCACATTGCGTTTGTCATGTTTGCCGAGGTGGTGCACACCATGGTCTTTGTCCGTGACCGTGCTAGTGTGAAGGGCAGGCAATGGGCTCATCGGGGAAGGGAGAGCGGCTCTTCACGCCTCGTTTGGCGAGGACACTCGGCGTCCTCAAGACAGGAGATCGAGTTCGAGGTTGGCGGCGTTCAGGCAGCGCAATTCCGAGTTTGGTTTCGTTGCTGTTTGGGGCGACGCTGCTCAGCGCACCAGGCTGGCTGCGGTTGAGCCGCAGCAGCTCGCTGACTGTCGCGAAAGAGATTCGGGACTGGGCGAGTACCATGACATGAGCGGACATCAATAAAGAGTCGTCTACGAGTCATGATCAACACCCCCAGACACGGCATTCATGCTTGAACGACCGAAGAGCTGCTAAGCCAGCAGTGCCGGAGTCCGCACGGGTTGTCCTGGCAGTGCGCGGCAGCGCAGATTGGTGAGGGTCTTGCCAAACAAGTCACACTGTCTCTACTTGCCACAATGGATGCAGGATGCGTGCAGGATGCGTGCAGTATGCGTGTAGGATGCGTGCCAAATGCTGGCAGCTGTCCAACTAAGACCAAATGCTAAGACCTTCTGCTTGCTTGGAACATGGCACGTTTCGATTTTCTGCAAATTGATACAGCACCGCAGCATTGTGCTGTCCATCATTTCCAGGACGCGTGGATTCTGATCCACGGTGCTGAAGTTGGGCTGGGAACTGTGACACGGAATGAGTCCAGCATGAGGCGTTTGATGGCATTTGCACATTCTATTCACCCGAGATCTGAGGCTTGGCCAGCTTATGCAGGAAGTGGACGAGAAACCTGAGGAAGCAAATTCACGCACGACTGATTCGGAGAGTCTTGTCAAGTGAGTCGGACCCAGGACTCTAAGCGAGAGGTCTCCAGCAGCAAAGCAGGCCAGGAACATCCAGGGTCGCAAGCCATCTGAACGGGGCTACTTGGGACTTCACGTGGGCCCCTGGGCTGGCACCCTCATGCACGTCTTGTTTGTAGGTTCGTGTGAAAAAAGAAAGGTCCCAGCGTAGCATCGCCACCATCCACAGCACTGAGCCCAATTCAGTGTAAAGCGACTTGTGTTTTCAGCATCGCCTTTCGACGCATGCGAACTTGCTGTCACTTTGCTTTCTTGGCAACCCAGTCACGCCGAATGGCCGCCGTGGAGCAGGCACTTAGCGACACCAGGCAGAGCCCACAGCTGTAGAATTGAGTGTGTGCGGAGCTCTGTAGCTGCAGGTCTGTCCTACAAGGGCCGCTTCAGTTCAGAGTGGTTGGTGACGCTGACCTTCCTGTTCGCCCGAAGCCCCTCTCCGATCAGATGCAGGCGGGGGCTGTCAACTCTCGCCATCGACACCTGAAACATGCTGAAATGATGCCACAATCTCAGGTTGCCACCTTGAAGCCTGGGGCCATGGTGCTGGGGTATCCCGCTGGCGACTGGATGAAGATCGAGACGGTGCCTAGAATCGATTCACGCTTTGCGAACTGGGCCCTGCCCTTGCCCTTGCCAGAGTTTAACTAAGGTGTCCACTACAAGCCAATGGGTCCGCCCGCTTGATGTGTGCGAGCATGCAATAGCGTGGGCAGCGTGGGTAGTGCGGGCAGAGCGGGTAAGGGTAGGATGCGAAGCGTGGGTAGCTAGCGTGTGTAGCGTGAGGCGTTGTATTGAGCTTTGACTCTTGGGCTCACACCAGCTTGTGCACCGTAGCCCGTTTCGGGTACTGGCGCTCTGGGGAAGGGTGCTGCCCTTAGCGCGTGGCACTTGTCACCTCCTGCATATCGTTGCAGCATGCGTGCTTGGCATTCTTCTAGCGACGAGGCGCAGCTTTCGGCTTTCGCATTGGGGGACGGATGGGCGATGAGGAGCCGGGTACGAGAATCGAAGGCAAGATGTCATATGTTGCACAATTCAGCCCCTTGTTTATGTTCCTGACTCTGTTGGATCAGACCTTGCAGTTTGCAGGTCCAGTCAGGCAGGCGAGGCTCAGCGACGCCTCGAACACATCACACCTATCGCTGGACACATCAAACCGTTTCCAGGACCCTGACATGTCAAACGCCACACCGGGACACCGGGTTGCTGTGCTCCGAGTCCACTTGAGTTCGTCCTGAAGGAGCTCCTGCAAGAGCTCCTCAATGAGCACTGCCTCAAGATCAAGGAGCTGCAAGAGGCAGCCTTCGATGGTCGTTGCGGAAGCCTTTTCCTGTTATGCTGCAACCGTCCTCGAAGTTTCCATGCATGAGTCCAATGCAAGTTCAGTACTTGCTGGAAGCGTTGCGAGGCGAATGAGCAGATGCAGCAGGAGTTGTGTGAGCTTCATGTGTCAGAGCCTGTGGGAGTGGAGTTGCTGGAGCTGCAGAGAATGAGTCAGTGACAGACGTGGTTCTTGGAAGTGGATGTCTCAGGCGTGACAGCGAGGACACCGGCGAGCCAAGAGTACCAAAGGCGCCTGATCTTGATCTCTCCTCTTTGCTTCTTTTTTGTTGCCTCCTTGGATGGCTTGATTCTGTGGCGAAAGGCGTTGCTTCCACGCTCTTTGCGAGGAGTTTTGGTCTGGCGAGACGACTGCACCGCCTCCATCAGGAGAGCCCCCCCCCCCCCCCCCCACAACTTGGAAATGCCCCCAGCGTACTTAACATGGTCGCTGCAAGGCTGTGTTTGCGCATCAGCATATCAATCTAGGATTGAACCTGAAGCCTGGATCTTTTCGCTTAGACTAGAATCCTTTCGCTTAGCTTAGAAGCACGTGGTATCTTAGGAGAGAAAAAATATCCGAAGCTTCGGTATGTTGGTCGCTTTCAACTATGACAACTCTTTCATGCACGTAAGGCAATGAATGTTTTTGGAGTATTTCTTCGATACAGCTGTCACTTGATAAGCCTTCGTTGCATCTTCAAGCTTTCTCGTCAAATCCTAGCCATAGATGAAGAATGCTCTGCTCTTCTGAACTGACGTGCACGTCGGCACATTGCCTGCAGGTGCAGGAGGTAATTCACCAGACTCGCACAGATCCAAGAACCAGAGAAAGGCCCGCAGTTGTTGAGACTTCCTTTCGATTCAATGCAATTCTGGCACTGCGAGGTACCAGCGCAAATGTCTGTCCATGACAGCCTGGACATGTCAGACGCTCCTTCCGCTGCATCTCATTTCAGGCAGAGAATGCTTGTCCGAGTGCAATCTTTGGGGCAATCCCTATAGACATTGCACTGTGGTGGGGGAACCCGTGTTTGTTTGTTGTAGTGTCCTTTTTTCAAGCAAACCCGCCTTCCGCGACAGCAAATAACAAACGTGATGCCTACCAGGATGGCGAGAGAGAGACACACGCACTCACACACTCACACTCGCACACTCTCACACTTCTCAGACTCTCGCACTCTCATACCCTCATACCCTCACACTCCCACACTCTCACACGCTCACCCTCTCTCTCCCTCTCTCTCTCTCTCACACACACACACACACACGCACACACGCACACACACACGTTGACTTGTCTGGAACTGATGAGACGGACGCTCGACTGGACAACATCAAGCATCACAGAACCCTCAAAAGCATCAAGTGCTCTCCAACAGATGGTTCATTCGGAATTGCACAGCGAGGATGTTCAATAGATTCAACAATGCAAAGCATACACGATGGATGATGTCACAAATCTGTATTGAGCAGGTACACCGGAGCGGCCAACTCCGACTTCCCACATCACTGGTAGCTTCGTTGGACGCAGTCCCAGTGATGTGCTGCGTCCCCCCGCATGAAATTGAGAAAGGGCGTGACCCCAATCCTGCATGTACAGCAGGTTGCACACACACATATGCCCCGTGGGGCGACACACCAAAGCAGGCGCTGAGCCGGCTGCAAGAAAGACATGAATTACTCGGGAGCTGCCCGGCCATCATGGGCATCACGTATGGCAGCATCATGCCCCCGAAGGGCGGACGAGACAAAGACAGGTCAAACATCTTGAGACTGAGAACGCGCGAGGTAGATCATCACCACAACAGGAGTGAGTTCAGCAACACTTTACCAACATTAGCAGAGAGACATGTTAACTCATGCACATGAACAACAACGGCAAGAGGTGCAGAGGAAGTTCACCAACAACAACAGGAGGGAGGACAACACCACTTTACCAACATTAGCGGGGAGGACATGTGTCTGTGCCTGATGCAGCCTCAGTCAAACTACCTGTTCACAGCTGACGGGACAACACGAAGATCACAAAAGCAGTGCCGTCCGGTTACCCCTGCGTCTGCAATTTGGATGATCCCGATGACATGTCTGTGCTCGCACTCGCTCATGTCACAAAGCCTACTGCAGATGATCCCGATGAATGAATATCTCAGTCAGCAGAGCTCAGTCAATCCCGGATGCCCGGGTCTTCTGGGATCTGGCCCCGTGACGGGACAACACGCCAGAACCATACACACGTTGACTTGTCTGGAACTGATGAGACGGACGCTCGACTGGACAACATCAAGCATCACAGAACCCTCAAAAGCATCAAGTGCTCTCCAACAGATGGTTCATTCGGAATTGCACAGCGAGGATGTTCAATAGATTCAACAATGCAAAGCATACACGATGGATGATGTCACAAATCTGTATTGAGCAGGTACACCGGAGCGGCCAACTCCGACTTCCCACATCACTGGTAGCTTCGTTGGACGCAGTCCCAGTGATGTGCTGCGTCCCCCCGCATGAAATTGAGAAAGGGCGTGACCCCAATCCTGCATGTACAGCAGGTTGCACACACACACACACACACACACACACACACACACACACACACACACACGCACACGCCCACGCGCACGCGCACGCACACGCACACGCACACGGACTGGTGAACAATTATTTGACTTGTTTCAGAATACCGCTATCGGTTATCGACGGTGTTCTCGCATGAACGACGTCTCCATACGCAAAAACGCAAGGGAGGGCTTCTAGGGTTTCCAGGTCACGGCCCGTCTGCCACAGCAGGAGCCATAAAAGCGCCTGTCCCCGCTGCTGCAAAAAAGTTTTGCCCCCGCCACGACAGCAAACAAACAGGCGTCCCGCAACGACAGAAAGAAAAACAAGCAACCCCTGTCACGACCGAAAGAGCAAACGACCCCTCGCCACGACAGCAAAGCAAGGACAGCGTGCCACCAGCCACGACACAAAATGTGCCCGCGGGGCTCTGATGTTCAAAGTGCTGGACACTGATCGGACGCTCGAGGCGCTCGAAGCGCTCGAAGCCTAGGCCCAGGCACGCACCACGCGCTCCGAAGAGCCGCAAATAACATGGCGCTTCTGCATGGCGGGGCAGGCCCCGGCAATCCCTTTGGGCTCTTGGCTGGGTTGCCCCCCCGTCCGTTCTCCAAAGGGATCTGCACTGTTGGGGGGCAGTGTTTAGCAAAGCCTCGGGGACACGTGGCGCGCCCATATTGTGCTCTCGTAAAAGACTGCGCGGAACGACGGCTTTCGGACTCTTGGAGAGTGCTCTTGGAGTGCTCTTTTGTAGTGCTCCAAGGGGCATGTTGTAGGAAGCCCGGAGCGCTTCTGGCCTGGCTGCTACGCATGAATAACTTGCCGGTTGTTGTCATCAGGTGGAAGGAAGAAGACCTGATAGAGTTGCTGGTAACAGTACATACATGCACAAATACTTTTTCACACAGTGCTGTCTCTTCCTTGAGTTTGGCAATTTTAAAGTTGCAACTTAGTCCAGGCTTGGGGGAGGGACCGGGGTGCCCGCAGGTCGAGCAGAGATCCCGCAATGTTTCGCCGAGGGAAAACGGAAACGTTTCTGCAGGCCGGGTAGTGGCTGGCAATGGCAATGGCAGCCTCTGCTTCGCTACTTCTCATGCTTTTCCGTGGGAAGATCTGTGAGCTGTAAGTGAAGCACAGGCCTGGGAAAGTGGGGAGAGCAGCCATGAAGGCTTCCACCTGAAGGCTGTTCTGCGAATGCAGTCCAGCACACAGCGTCAGTTCGAACGGTGCTGATTTCAGGGAGTGTGGACAGACTATCTGGATACCCACAACGATGTCGGCAGCCGTCTCAGCCAAGGGTTGTCAGTGACGTGAGGTGCCTGCTCGTCCGGGGAGTCTCGACAGACTGTTTATGTTAAAGGTGTGGTGGATCGTTGTGATCTTGATCTTGCTCAGGAAGCGGTTTCCAGCACTACTTCGCTGCCATGAAGGGAGCCAGGACAGGGCAGACAGAGTGGACAGAGATATGATTACGGCACACACGGACACACATGTTTTCACACTTTTGAGCAACTTTGTGTTTTCAGAGTTCACAGGATGGACAGAGACAGCGAGCAGCAGAAAACGCCGAAAAGCCCATTGAGACTGGTACGAGGATCACGGCGTGCTTCCGGCAAGTTGAAAGAAGCTGCTGTCTCCCCTGGTGTTGTCTTATTCTCCTGGCGATGCCACCAACTGTCCAGGTGAGCTGATAAATCTCGCGCAAGTGGCAACAAGCGAGGCACGCTTTTTGGATATTCCAGCCCCGTCAGCTGTGCCTTCTGCTGTGGCTCGGAGAAGCCAAGTTCTGGG